CTGCTGCTTAGGTGACTAATCAAAGGGAAGATGAACCTGTAGTATACGTAAATCCCTCAGAGTAACAATGAGTACCACTGCCCCCCTCTCCCAAAGCATTGACGCAGCGCTCCTGTCTGCACGCTGCAAGGCTGAACTCCCTTCCACAGCTGTTGCTCTCAGCAATAGCAACATGTTTGTGCAAACTGAAATGGTTCTCCCCATGATAATGGTACAAAGGCATCTGAACAGGAGTGAGGTGACACAGAGGAGAGTGCTGGGTAGTGCTGAGCACCACAGCTCCCTTTGAGCCAGCAATGGGCCCATGTGGCATTGGGAAGGATTGGGTTGGGGGATGTGGCGATACCAAAGCCCTTCCTATTTTCCTGATAGATTCTCAGGCAGTTGTTTAGGAAAGCATAAATCAAGATAGAAAGATGCGTCCTGGCCAGAGGAGAGACGGAGGTTGCTGGGATCTGCAAGCCTCTTGCCAATTAGTTAGGAGCTGCAGGCATCAGCTGTTTGCTTCTCAAAGTGAATATCCCATCTACATCCCAGGTGTAGAATAATTTAGAATTAGTAGGGTTCAGAGAAGCTCTGTGCTCAGCGTGTGATACTCACAGGACACTTTCTCCTAGTGGAGAAGTGCGGGACCTGCTATGAAATGAATAAAATTTACCATTCGCTTGCTACATTCTCTGGTCTGCCTCGGTTCCTTGCCATTGTGGTGGCAAGTTTTTCTATCTAACACTAAATTTTGCAGCCAGTACAGGAGGCAGGTGTTGTATGGGGTGTATACTTCATAGAGCAACCTACCTCTGCCATCTCTGTTGCTGTATTGCCTTTTGCACCCAGGTACATGAGAGCCAGAGCAGATGATATGCTCCAAGGGGAAAAGAAAATGTTTTTGCCCTTGTTGGTTTCATCCAGCTTTTTGAAAAGATCAACTGTAAACTCGCCAACTGATGTTGAGACCAGTTCCATTGCTACAACCTGGAAAGAAGCAACAGTCAAAATTGTACTATTTGAATGTTTAAAATTATATACTCAGTGCGTATTAGTGAGAAATGTTACATGTGCAACACAATGCATTGGCACCCGCTAAAACTAATAGCCTAATTGTATGTTTTATCTTCCATGCAGATACTGTTTGCCACCTGTTAGAAGCATCAATTTCTTTTAGTTTTTTTTGTTATCCAGATAATGTTTTCCTATAATTATGCGTATGTCCTCTTTTATACAGCTGCAGTTTTCTTTGTGTTTCTTTCTGCCTTTGGTTTTCAAAAATGTGCAGATTTGCATATTTTTCTTCCTTTTTGTCCTTAACTGATGATTTGTCAAAGTGACGTTCCCAAGAGAATTTAAATGCAGTTTTATTACATAGGTTCACCACACGCCTGAGTTTCCCACTACTTCATTTTGGATCTGTATAGAATTGAGAGCTGATACTGAGGAAGAATTTAGGCATAATTCTTAGGCTCGTGTGCTTTTCCTGGCCAGCCACCTATTCTGAGTAGTATCATTAATAGCAAAGCTGTTATTTGCCTTTAGATTGATAGAGTTTTATTCATTATATGTACCTACGACGCCTTCTGTATGTTCCAGTAATTTGATTTTCCCCAGAAACTGGCAGATTCTTTGAGGTTTTGAGTATTTCAGACTTCAAGATATCTGCCCAGTAGTACCTGCCTCTTGTTGTTTTCCAGTCAGGAGATCAGAAATGTGGCTGTTGTTATTGTTACTGTTATTGGTATTAGTATTAGTATTTGCATTATTAAGATTTATATCTATGGAATGGAGCAACAGAAATTGGGGGGCAATCTCTGAAGTCTATGGGTATTTCTGAAGTGTTTGGTTGCCAAACCACTACAATTCTTCTGGCAGTCAGTGTGCTATCAGTACCACCTGAAGTATGGGACTCCTTTATCAAGCTGAAGATTTTTATTAAAAAGACAGTTACTGCCCTAAGAAAACTTTCCTTCTTGTGATCAGTTCTGCGTCAAATTAGCAGTTTTCTTTAGCCTTATAGACTTATTTTCCCTAAGGATTGACATCTAGAAAAACATGAGGCAAGAATAATGCACTATAACATTGGTATATTATAATCTACCTATATAGTCATGCAAGCCATAGATTGCTTTTTAAAAGCATCAGAAAAGTTACTTAAATGGGTTTAAATATTTACCTCTGATCCCGTGAGACAGAAGACTTAGGTCTTGTCCTCGGTCAGGTTCTGTGTTTGTGTGTTAAGCAACGAATAAATCTAGAAATACAGTACTGCTTGCACCTCCCTTTCCTTCTCCCCTACATCCAGGTTGTTTCCGCCTACCCAAAGCTCCTTTCTACCACATCCTCAAAAGATCTTACATAATTTTGTCCTCTTTGTTGACCTTGTCACTTTTCAGTTTTAGACATTTCAAAAGGACACTGGAATTAAAATTTCATCTGTATTGTTAACATTACAATAGTTTGCTGACAGGATAGCAGAACAGTTCACTCATTCCAATGGTCTTCTGATGTTGTGGGGACAACTGGTCTGTTGTTTAAAATAAATAACTAGTAGAAAGGTTACACAACTAGGATGCTTGGTTTTGGTTTCTGGATATAAGCAGATACTATAGGCCTGATTCTTCTCTCCAGCTCTGTGCAGCTGTGACTCCTGGGTTTCAGATGTTGTACATCAGCATAAAACATCAAGCTTAGTGACTGAATTAGTCACTGGGAGTCCAGCTTCAGATCAAAGATCATTAGGAGCATAGACAAAGGCAAAGCCATGAAAGAACATTCAGGGTAAGGGATGGACACCCCACTGGTTGTGTTGGTGAAGAAATCTCATTGCAACCATAGCCTGGAATCATTTGAGAGAAACACTGCAAACCACTGCGTTAGTGCACAGTACTTGCATGTAGTGAAGCAGGGCAAGGACTGAAACAACCCCACTGAGATGGCTCGAGCAAGGATGGAGTGAAAAAATACAACAGAGCAAACATGGCACAGTAGTTGGCAGTCTGCTGTCCGAGAAGAGAGCCAGGCTGCTCTTGGGTTGTGGAAGAAGGAGAAGGTGGTGGCAATAGCTGTAAGACCCTGGAGGACAGGGGAAGGGGAGTGGAGGAAGGGAAGGAAACTGTACTGTGTGCTAAGCATTTTGCTGCAAGCCTAATTACAGGAACAGAGTGGGTCAAGTCTTCTAAAAAGTGACAGAAATCAATGTTGTGCAAGGCAATGAAGAAATGCCAGAAATTAAACAAGTGTTGGTTTAGTACAAGGAGTAAGTTTTCAAGAAATCAGGATAGGAGAAAGGTCAGATGAGTTGTTAGGTGGTGGGAAAGCCCAAGCCAGGAGGCTCCAAGTCCCAAAGACATACGCTGAGAGTAAGCAAGCTAGCTCTCTTTGCTAGTCAAGGTGCAAGGATGCCAGGCAGGATGAGGAAGGGAGGTGGTAAGGCAGAATGGCTGTTAGCAAGAGAGAGAAAATCACACATGTTAATTGAAAAGGACATCCAGAGGTCAACCTCCTGCTTGGAGCAGAACCACCAGTAATAAAGTCAGCCACAGCCCTTCTGAGGATGGAGATTCACCAGCCTTTCTGGTTGTTCCCTAATGTACAACTCACCCTTCAAGTGTTGTAGCTATTGCACTTGGTAATGATCTGGCACTGCCAAGAGGACATTAACTGTCATCTTTGTATTTATACTTAAAATAGCTAAAGGAGAGCAAAAAGGTGACTCACATTTCCATTGACTTTAGAGGCCTTTGAATGATTTCAGGTGCATGTTGTCATGGTTTTGTTCCTCCTTGACCTCCCAGGTGTGGTTTTCCTGTCTTTATTCCTGAGGCACATCAGAAAGTGCTTAAGAGGCTTGGCCATGGGGACATGAAGCCCTTGCATTAGGTGAAGCAGGGCATGGCAGAATTGCACCTGAACACACAGGGATCCTGTGTCATGTTTCACAGTGAGACAGACAGAAGAGAGTGCTGTTGAGGTTGTGTGGGGGTAGAATAAAGCACTTGCTTCACAACACTTTTCCGATGCTCCTTCCCATTAGGGAAGCAGAGCCAGAAGGAATATTGGAAGCAGCTGGCTGCGTGGAAGAAAACAGAAAGGATTCAGGGACAGTCAGCAGTCTCCTTTCTGTCAGGAAAAGGGAGTCCTACTGTCCCAGGAAGAGATGTTTCTGCTAAGGTGCTGGTGGTGTGTGCAAGTCCTGTAAGACAGCCAGTCCTTTGCTCTCTGTTGTGAATTCAGAGAGTTAGGAGCATCCCCTGCAAACATGCATGACTGATAAGGACACTCTCCTCCTTAGGAGAAAGAGCTGTGACAGGAGTAAATGTGTACTGGGAGATTTGCGTGTAATTTTCCAGAAAGCACTTAGGGAGTTAGTATTACAGCCATGATTCTCCAATCCAATCTTACCTCAAACAAGTGAAATAAGTGGCAAAGAAAAATGAGAGTAAAGCAATGCAGTGCTGGGCTGGCAACAGTGTTGAATGCATGAAAGGTTACAAAGGAGACGGTTGCAAGGCACATGTGTTTTATTTTCCTCCAATTCTATACTGTTGTTCAGTATTTTCCAGTTGCTGTGGGACAGAGATTAGAAAATACGTGTATTAGCCCCTTTGCATGCAAGAAACAAGCACCAGTATCAGGAACACAGAGGATTTTGCAGGTTTATTTCATTACCGGCTGTGCCAGGCTGCAAAGTTTGTATAAAACTGACAAGGATGTGGGTGAGGTAGCCCTCCTGGGATGACCAGCTTAGTGAGCTGAAACCAAGGGAGATGCAGCAGCATTCTGCAGGAAGGAGTTTCTCCTGTTTCTTTTCTTCTTATGTACCAAAGCAAGTGTGTTGAGAATTACTGGTTTAGATCAACTTAGTCTGGTCTGCATTGTGGCAGTTCTCATTCAGAAAGCGCTGGAAAGATGCATCAATGTTGTTCTGTGCAGAGTTTGGTGCTTATAGTGTAGTGCTACCATTTTTGGGTTCTTTGACCAGGCAAATAAGCCAGAAGCATTACTTCCAGGTTATTTTTAATATATGCTCTCTTCTAACATTGAGAGATTTGTCAACAGTACAGGAAAAGTAAGAACTGCACAGACTATTGAGATGCTCTTTGTGGTGCATATTTTGTTCATTATTGTAGTTGCAAGAGCCTGTTTATTAATAGTTAAGTTTCTAGGGGGAAGAGAACCTTCCCAAGAAGAGGATACTCTTGGTCTTGTTGTGCCTGATAAAGAAGAGGAAAGGGTGATCTGCTACAAAAATAACAGCAGCACCGAGACTTCGTGATGCCAGTGCTGCTGAGCTGGCAGCTGCTGCCTCTGTGCCTTCTTCATTGACTTCCAGATAACACTTGTGAAAAACTTGTGACAAAAACAGATCACCATTCTCTGACATTCCTGTGAAATCAGCTTGACCTTCAGTGAAGGCGTCTTGTATCCCCATCCTGCTCAAAGTAGATTTGAGTTCGTATTTCTCTTCTAATGTGAACCTGGGCAGATAAACCTCTATTTTCATTTTCTCCATTAGTTCTGGGCTGGTCCATGCAGACAAGTTTTCAAAAGTCAATTCTCTTTCTAGCTGCAGTTAATAAAAAGAAAATCAGAAAATCACAGAGTGTTCAAAAACCGGTGCCCTATTTCTTCTCGTTTCTTAAATGGAGAATTTTTCAAGCTGTTGTAAGAGTACAAGACAAACAGTAGTGAAAGACCAACTTGGAGATCTTTTTGACTAAAGGATTATGTTGCTGTATGGTAGGTCAATGCAGTATTTGAACTGTTCTCAGTAATTGTCAGGGAATGTAGCAGGGTTAAATAGCTGTAGAACAAAAACATTGGTGTCAAGTAACAATAGTCTGAATGATTTGCTGTTCACAATTCTGTCTTCTCTACATTTTATAATTTACTGAAAAGACTTTTCTTTCTACAGAACCCACTAATGTGAATGAGAATTTAATAAGAGTTTATTATCCAAAGGCAGGATTGGTCTCTTTACAGAAGGTGGCAGTATCCATATGTATTACCTCTGGACATCCTGGAAAGTAATGGAGGTTGCCCAATTTGTGGTTTGGTTTTGGGTTTTTTTTTGAATGAAGGCATATCTGTCTGAATCGGTACAGACAGTAGATCTAAGCAGGGCTGGCTTTCTGTCCTCATTTTTGTGGGGTTTGGGTTAGCTATCGTCAGGACTGGTCAACATTAGGAACCACAGAAGTGCCAGCTGCCAAGAGTAAGAAGTCTAGTCTGGGCTCCAAGAGGTTCAAGTTCACAGTGCTAGACCAAGTTTGGGATTTACTTTTCCTGGAGCCTGATCAGTACCCTCCTTCCTAGCAACATGACTGCAGCCTGGTGTTTCACCTTGCACAGGCACAAAGTAAGTAAATAATGTCACTCTTGTTTTTTCAGGTGATTTATGTTCTCAGTTGCTTTACCTTTTGTAAGCCGGTGATGTTACTTGGTAGCAGGATAAACATGCTGAGGTCATTATTGACGTATGGAAGCTCAAGAACATCGGCCTGGGCTGATTCTATGTAGGTCCAGTTAAATTTATCACTCACGTACATCATGGGCACTGGTTTAGTTGTATGCTGCAACAAATCAAATTAAATGTTTGCCATTTGTACTTTGACTGAACAGTAAAGGACTGAGTAGCACAGCGGAGGTTTATTGTATTTATTGTACAAGCTGCCCAGTGTGTCTGAGACACCCTTATGGCTCCAAGTGGCAGGACACAGGATCTGCAGAGGAGCCCTGGTCTTCTGGAAAGGTTCTTGGAGGCTAGGCAGGCTATCTAAGCTGTCTTAGATGACACCCATTATAGAAAGCTGTGTTCCACTCTGATTTGTTGTATGGTTAAAAACTAAAAGGTGAACAACTAACCCATACAGGTTTATTCACCTCTTTGTTTTCCCTGCCTTCAGAGAAGGAGAGCTTGTTTCAAGTCAACTTCTGACAATTTTACTTGTGGCTCAGGTGCAGGTATGTATGTGCAGTCTTTGTGCTGAAGATGTGGTGAAGAAAATACACTGCTTTAAATGAAATAACTTTCATGCTGCATGGATTTAAAGATTGACAGAAATTTGTCTCCACTATCTTTTTCAGTTTTTTTCCACCTGCAGTGTAGGATGTAGGGCAGTATATTCGCATACCGTGTTTATTCTGAAAGGCCTTTGCCTGGTAGCTTCAGCTTCGAACTTTGTTGCCCAGTTTCCTTTGAAGTAGAGCGCATTTATCAGGACTAGCCTGGTGAGTGAATCTACAGATCGAGGTGGCAGCAAATTTTGAATTTTACCTAGATGAAACAGAAGGACATTTACACACTTGTGCAGTTTTAATGTTTCAATGTAAGTGTTGGCACAGTTTCTGCAGATATAAGCCCGGGAGATTGCAAGTGTCTTGAGATTATTCACAAATATGTGGTTACTGTGGTAATCTTGATTTACAAAGAAGAGTAAGCCACATTCCTCCCATGTTCAGCTGGAGGACACTAATTTTAGTAAGAGCTTGTCGGTAGATGGCTACTTTAGGAAAACTGATCTGATTTACCTTTTTGAGGTGAATTGTTTACCTGCCTTGGGCCCCTTGGTACAGAGACTTTACTCAATGCTGAAATGACTTCTTTTTGAATTGAGAAAGGAGAGGCTGGAACTTACCTTCAGTCTGGTCTTCAACCTTGGAATTGATCTCTTTTCTGATTTCATCTGCTGCTCCCACAAAGTCAACTGATTGTGGCTCTGCATTGTAATATTTCTTGACTGACTGTAAGTATTCCTGCAGTGCAAGAGAGACACCCATCTTATGTTTGTGGCCTGCCAATACGAATGCTAATAAATAAATACAGCCAAACAGAGAGAAAATATGACAAAAATTACATAGACTACAAGAACAGCATTTTGTCAAAGAAACAAAGTAATTTTTAGCGGAAATACTCAATTTAAATGTTCTCACCTAACTACATCTGCAAATCACTCTGAAACTAGATACACGTCCCATAAAATGAAAATTTTAGTGTCCAAGGTCTCAGGAAAAGTCTCATAGAAAACATTTATGTTAAGGATAACAACATGATTTGCAGATATAATGAAAATATTTAAAAGTGTATGATTTATGGTATGTTGTCCTAGATAGATCATAAAAGTTAAATGGCACTACGTAATCTGAATAAATGGCCTACTTACCTTACTGAAAGGCAATGATTTTTCTCCATATAACTGGTTGACACTTTTAAGTAGGTAGTTTTTAGTGGGTTGGTTGATTTCAAAGTTGAGTGCTTTAAACCCAGTATGGATATTATCCGATTTGCCAATTTCTGTCTTGGAGAAAAGGAAGAAAAGACGTTATTCATCTGTTGTGTAAACTATTTCAAAATTTCTGATTTTTTCCTTCATGCAGCTCCAAGTAAAGTATTTCTATTCAGGTGATCTGTTATCTGTAATGCAACACAAGCGGTGTTCTAAACCATACAGCTATTAAAAGAATCATTTGAAAGTATGAAAAGTTGCAGGCGTGGTATAGGCACTGTAAGTGTCTCAAAATGCAAGCATTAAGAGCCTGAATTATGTAAAACATTTATGGGTTTGTATGAGGAGATTGTGAAACTAAGTATATCCAGAGAATGAGACAGAATGTAAGTGTTAAACAACACATGAAGATTTGGCTGTGTGACTCCTTTCATTTATGGAAGTTAAGTGTGTTACATGGAAAGTCTGCCCTTAAATTTCTTAATCTTGCTCTTATTGTTAATATTTTGTGAATATTTTTTTTTATGTTGCAGTAAATTCTTTATATTGAGGTAACAGGATTAAATGAGTTGTGGGCTCAAACTCTCAAATGAGTTTGTGAATTTTTTTTTTATGTTGCAGTAGTTGCAGTAAATTCTTTATATTGAGGTAACAGGATTAAATGAGTTGTGGGCTCAAACTCTCAAATGAGCTCAAGGAAGTTAAGGTGTGAATTAGTGAACTAAAAATCTGGACCTGTGCTGTATTCACCTAGTCATTACGTCAGAATCAGCAGAGGCATGAACATTTCCAAACTGTTAGAACATTCCCTTTGCCCTACCTACAGTGCACTGTAGTTCTTACAATTTGGACAAGCATTACTCATGAGGAACAATCCCTCTCCTGTTCATGATGTGCAAATGGGTTGTTGACATAGCCCCTAAAATAAATCTTCCCACCATGGGATTTGGCTGTGGGATGCAGATCCAAGTGCCCATTCATCAGAACTCACGGGTGCTGGGGCTTTACGGGCAGACTGCAGGGAAATGGCTCACTCTCACAAAGAATAAGGGTAATGGGAAAAAGCAGGGAGAAGAGCTTGACACCACCATGGTTGAATTGTCAATGAGGAAAATCAGCCTTTACTAACTCAGAGGGATTCTATTTGCTTTTCTGTATTTTTCTGCTATGTTAAATTACGTATACTTTGGTACAAGATGCCTGCCAGTATGTCAAAAAAATATCTCAAGAATATAATGTTTTCCATTTCTCTAAGATTTATTGTGAGCAACTGGTCTACCTTGGGAAATTCCAACAAGTCAATTTATTTTGTTAACTGTTCAACTGAAATGGAGACTGATTTCTGAAACATATCAAGCATAGGTAGCCTGGAAAAGTTAATGTTCTCTTTTTGTTATCTTGATGCTGCAATCAAATCTGTGGAATGGCAGCTCTGTTCTTGTGATGAGCTCTCTGAGGTAGGAACAGTGCCTTTTCAAAGAACATGTAGTTGCTAAATAGCTAGCTATTGAACAGTAATAATTTGAGAAAGAAATCTCTCCTCAAAGCTAAAGGAAAAAGATCAAGAGATCTATTGACAGAGAATGATAACATTAAATTTTAAATTTTGCAAATTTGAGGTTAGTTTTTGCAATTCTACCTAAAAAGGGGAAGCATGTAATAAGTATTGCATTAGGTGAAGGTATCACAGGATGCTGTACCAATTAATTGTGTACACTACATATGAGGAAGGCAAACAAGCGAATGCGAATGTGGACGGAAAATACAAGCAAGAGAAGATGTGACCATGCACATAGCTTGATCATTAGACTTGGTGAGATACCTTCTGGAAACAAGCACGTCGATTTGATAGACGCTCTTCTGTTCTGGAATAGACTTGCATTTTTATGGTTGTGGTGATGTTTCTGGTTCCTTCAGCTTTGTTAAAGTGAAGTACCTATAGTGGAAAAAGCAATAATAAATGCAATGATAGAAAATTTACTGTTTCAGTAAAATCTTCCAGTGATGTCAAGGGACTGGTGATGAAGAGAGTCAAACTCAGATTTTATTATTGTGTCCAGTCCTGACTGAATATGAAATCTTTGGTTAGGTCTTGAGACCCATGTGTACAAAATGGCTTGCACGCACTAAGCTGAGGGCTACAGAGCAAAACTCTTATGTACCTGACCTTTCTAGAGGAATCTGCCTGCTGACCAGTTAGTACTCGGGAAGAGCCAATTATCTCCAGATGGAGACTACCAAAGCAGAAGTCTAAATGGAGCATTGCTATGTGTCAGCAACCATGAAAATGGTGTGGGCAGCTTCATGCCTTAAATCCCTTGCTCTGGGCATGTGCACCTTACCGAGGCTACAAAGGGGTACCTCCAACCTTGGAGCATTTTTCAGAAGAGCTATGCCTTTTTTTTTTTTTTTCCCTAACCCTTCTTCCTAACAGAAGACCACTCCTTTCTTTGTTTCCCTACTGTCCCTCTTTCGTCCTGTAAATCAGGAGTTAGATCACTGCCTTAGCAGGTGGGACAACTTCTGCCTTGGCAGATGCAAACTCACAAGCCTCACCTCCTGTGATAGGAGCTAGGGCACTGTGCACTGAGGTTGTTCTCACTGCCACCTGCTGAAGCTATGAACTTTGCACAAATACAACTTAGGGATTTCAGTAAGTGATTTTGCCTGTAAAATACATACCCTAAAGAAAGGGTTGTAGTCTCACCATGTTTCTTCTCTGATCTCATGGATGTGGATTTACGTTTGGCAAAGTGCAAAACTTGTAATAACTATAGAGGAGAGTCTTTTTGTGTGGGGTCATTTCCAAAGAGATGAGATGTGAGATGGGAATTGTCTGTGGCAGAGTAGAAGCAGAATCCAGGTCTCCCACTCCCTGGTGAGTGCTCAAGTTACTGAGCTTTCGAATAAAGATCCCTTATTTCTGCTGGTGAGATTTAAAAGGAGACAATGTCACCAGTGCCACTTCTCTCGTTTACTGGGGACCTGCTTCCAGAGGCTAAAGTAGACTATTTCTTTGACCTGCACAAGTGAAGAACTGGTCTATTCATTGCAGTGCACATCAGGGGTGAAATGGGAGCTTGCATGTCTGTAGAGTTTTGATTAATTTTTCTGCTTATGGCTTTCCTCTGTTCCATCACAGTAAATTTCTTGCATAGAGGATGTTACTCCAAGAGATCAACCCTTTCAGACAGCTACCTTTGAAAGCCCAAACTCACCTTTGCCATCTGATCTGCAGTGTTACCTTTGGCTCCGAAATAAACAGTAGCCAGGGCAATTGAAATACTGAAAGGGGAGAAGAAAATATTCTTGTCACCATCTTCCTGACACTCATGTTTGAAAAAGTCAAGAGCAAAGCTTGTGTTTGCTTTATTCAATGCTTCCATTGTTCTGAACCTGCACAGAAAGGGAGAAAAGATGCTATTAGCAAACCACTACTTATGACTGCTATGTGTCTGCAAGTTTCTCTTCAGTTTTTGAAATTTCTTTTGTTACTTAAAGGCTTTCTAAAGGTATTTATATGAAGAACAAGGAGGATTAACTATTATAAAGTCATATAAGGTTTATTGTGTCCTTTTTCACTGATGACACCAGCTATCATTTAGGTTAGAGAAAAAGCAGCCTCCAATGTTGTTTTGTATTTGTTCACCAGGATATTTGTTGCACTGTGCTTTACAGCATCTTGGAGTGACAGTTGATAATGTTACTCATCAGTGCCTGGACTAGAGGATACTGAGAGACTGTTTCTTATGACAACTGTTATGCTTCAATTAGTGCAAGAGCCTTTGATGCTCATAACTGTAGTGAACAAATGTTCTGGCAACAGTAACAGTCAAACTATTCCTTTAGGACAGGACAAAATACTCCTTCCAATGCTTGGGCAAGCACTGCCCCAACTATTGCATGCTTAGCATCCTTAGCATTCCCTTTCTGACTTTCAAAAATGTCCTCAAACTCTGACTTACAGTGCTAGCCCAGATCCTCGCTTCCCCGTTCTGCAGGACAAGGTTTCCATATTCAGTAGACCACAAATGCTGCTATTTGTCATTTGCATTGCAGGTTTAGCTGAGAGCTTTAGGCAGGGACTAGGAGCTATTCTGGTTGATATAGGATGGCCTTAGAATTAAGACAGTTTGTGTCCTGAGTAGCTCGCAAACCAGGAGCTGACCCGATATTCATAAGAGCTAAAGAGCACAAGAACAAATTAGCTGACTTAAGCAAACACAGTGGTTCTTACTCTGCTATGATATATATATGCTAGCCAGTGAGCTCTAGAAATCATAGAACAATAAATTACTCTTCCTGGTTTTTTTTGACTTCCACCTTCTAGACCATGCCTATGCCATCTTAGTAAATTACTTTCCCAAGCATCTGATGTTTCCAATTCAGATCCCTGCTTCCTTTTTTCCTATGCATTTGTTAACAAAGCAACACCATCCAAGAGTATATGAAATAAATAATCTCTAGAAATCACTACAGTACCTTGTTTTGTGCAGGGAGGAACTCTGCTGCTCGGGGTGTCTCCAGGGTTTCTGCTGTTCACATGAAGGGTAGGGTGAATTTATAATGTGTCTGGCCAGTTCTGCAAAGGTTCTTATGACTCATGACTGTGCAATTTATTATGCCCTGAAGACCACATCCCTGTGGAAGAACTGAATCATCTCAGAGTAGGATGTAAAGTGATGATGAGAATAATACCATACAAGAACCTTACAAAACTGACTGCAGAAGTATTTCTATAAACACTTTTGTGGCAACAGGCTAGTAACAACTTGAACCCGCACTACTTTAAACAATCTTTCTTTTGCGGTTTGGAGGGTTTTAAAAAAAAGGCTGTTGCTGGCCTAATTCTTTTATGATTCGTCTAATAGAAATTATTTCTGAGGAACAGTCAGACAGAGAAAAGACAGTGACTTCTTATGTGTGAGTTTTTCTATTGTCCGTTTCCTACTGAGAAAGTATTTGTCACTCCTAGTGGGTTTCTGTTTTAGAAAAATGGATTTTGTTAATCTTGGAGGATTCTAAAACTGTGCAACCAGGGAAATATTGTCACTGTGAGACAGTAAATGTTGAGAGACAGGCACCAGACCCTTGCTTTTATTGTCAGTGGCAACATCACTAGAACCTGGTGTGGGTCTTAGATTAGACTTCATTTTTCTTTTGTTTCTGTTTCCCCACCCTAATCTGAAAGCTGCTGTTTGACCAATGTAGCACCTCAGAGATTTACTCCTTATTTTCCATTCCAGAAATGGATATTCTGTCAAATCTTCTTTTTCTTCTTGCCTTGGCTACTAAAAGACCTCCTTCCTTGCAGTCATGTTGTCCCTTCCTCTGTTGTCCTTGTTGTAGCTGTCTATCCCCACTCTGACCCCTAACTGAAAGACCCCGTGAAATCCTACCCTTGCTCTTTATTTCATTCTTTACCTCTCTGCACTGTTGATAATATCACCTTGAAAACCTAGATAGGAGCTGCTCGTCTCTCCAGGGCTGCCTCCTCGACACTGAGCAAGATTCACTCACAAGGCCTATCTCCTTGGCATAAACTGCTTTCTAAGAGCTTTCTTCTGACCTGCTGTCTATGAGCATACATCTAACATGGATGTATGTTGTAGGTCAGTGGCTGGCACAGAGGATCCTGTAATGAGGAATGAGCCATGGGAGTACCTGCAAAATTTGGTGTAGGGCATAGGAGGTCGCAGCTGCAAAGGGTCCCTTTCCAATGGCAAACCTTCTGCATCAATATAATTTGGGAACTGAAAGCTTTGTTAAAGTTGCTTTCCTACTTGTGAGGAACTGCATGACTTTAATGGGATGATGTTTTCCTGCCCCTTGGGTCCTTTGAAATTGTAGCTACACAAAACCAGCATGCTTCTGTGTGAGTTGTAATTAGATGCATCTGTTATGTTTTCCAGAGAGCGGCATAGTGTAGGAGAGGTGTTCACTGCAGAATTAATTGCTTCCATTGCGCCTGGGAAAGTTGTAATCTGTTTACATTGGCCTTAAGTGATTTCCAAAGTCTAAACGATTTGAGTAATCTGCAAATTTGGCCATGCTGTTGAATGAGTGATAGATACACAAGATAGACTTCATCCCTTAGAGCAATTACTGTGGATGTTCTGGTTTTAAAGCAGAGGTGAATTCAATTTGCTAACTTGTAATACTGCTTGCTGCTTTACAAGAAGTCACGGAGGTGTTCTGTTTACACAGAAATCCTGGGTTAGACTGATTGAGAGGCTTGTGCCTTTGTACAAGGTTTTAAAGCTACCTTTTTAAAACACGTCTTGAATGGCATTGCTGGTCATTAGCAAAAAAGAAAAAGCATACCGAGTAACTAAAATTATACTCATCTCAAAGAACAACATATGCTAAATCAACGTGATGGATTGATAACGTTTTCCGATATCCTTTTAAATTAATACCACCAGAGGAAACGGCTGAACGGGTGGTGCTACTGCTGACTCAGTACTCACTCCCACTCTGTACTAAGTCAACACCGCAGCACACTAGAAGACTTATATTTGGATTAATAGTATCCTTCTGTGGCAAGTAAACCTGTGGGCTCTTTCACTGTAGTCATTCATGTTTCCATTTGGTCAGGACAAATATTGGCAGGACATCAGTGCCCTGGCCAGAGCTCAGCTATATAAATGCACTTTGTTTTCCTTCAGTTTCAGTGGAACTTAGCACAAGTCATTGTGACTTTCTTACATAGTGTGTTGCTCTGTTCATTAGCACCTGGGATCAGGAGTAGGTGAAATGCTTGATGTCAAAACATTTGAAAGTGCTCTATAAAGGCTTTTGAGGGCCTTGAGAGAAAGACTTTCTGTCACAGAAAAATGGTAGCTCCTGCTTTCACAGAGTATTTTAGGATACAATTTTCCATGGCTGGTTTTCATGTTCGTTGGTAGATTATTTTAGCTAGCAACTTTGTATAGCTCTTGGAAACCTAATTTAATTCAAAACGAACATGTTCTATATTTCAGGTAGATCAAAAGAAAAAGTGATATTTGAAGGAAAGCTGTTCAGTTTTCCTGACATCTTCAAATACTTTTTTACCAGTATAAGCATTGTTTATTTGCTTGGGAGGGAAGAGTTTCAAGTTTTTGGCTCAGCCAGAGCAAACCAGTAGCTTTTAAACATGAAAGGATTTTAAATGTCCTCAAACCTTTAAAAGAACTTCAGGAGATACAAGAAGCATAGGAAGGGGAAGGGTTTTGAAATCTGAGAATATTTTAACCCTTTTGGAGATCTGATGTAATTTTTTAAAAATCTCTCTGTGATTTAATGTTAAAAACTGTAAGGAGGACAGGGGCACAGAAATTAAGCAAATGGTAAGGGTGCTGAGTGACTAGATACATTAACTTTTCTGTGCTAAGGAGGACTCTTTTCTGGGTGATGCTTCTGTCAGTGTGATTGAGGGCATAGCATGAGCTTTTCCTAACCTTGTCAACTAAAAAAAGAAAAACTAATTTCTATGCATCAACTAGACTAGTTATAACAGATTTTCATTTGTGCTATAACAGATTTTTATGTACGATAAATTTGTATCATCCTGAAATCTCAAATGGTTTTTAAGTTTAAGAGAGATTAGTTCTTTGGGTATCTTTTTTCCCTTTAAAGCTTTGGTTGAGAATACACGTGTCTTTATTTTGAAACAGAGTAGATAACTATCTATTTTGTACCTCCTACAAGTAAGTTTGCAAGCCTTCCCTTGCCAAGCAATCCTTGCTGACATACTCTTAACAGTATTTAAAACCTTGTGAGTTGCCAGAGGGTGTGGTGACGTTCCTGCATAAATATTACTGAGGCATTTTGCTCCACGCCTGCAGAAAGCAAAGGTGTGGTGAAATTTGACAGTACTGGCACAATTCATCATACTTTACTATTACTTCTACATGCTTTGGCTTAGACACTGTAATTAATAAAGGTAGTGTTTATCCTGAGAAATTCAGCTCTGTTAAGCAGCGCAACACTTCTGAGAAAGGACTGATCTCTATATCTGAAAAGAGATAGTTTATCTGTTAATGAATATGCGCTTCACATATGCAAGGGTGCAGTTTTCCTTTGAATGACTCAGGCAGTGAGCATTTTTAAAATACCCTAGGTAGCAGTTAACATCAAAAATATGAAGAGTGGCCTGAATTTCTCAATCATGATACACAGTTATGAGTAATGATGTATGTGTGGCTTGTATGCACTTTAGCCGAAACTTGTCAGTTTTCCGAAGAAATCTCTCAAAGGGTGTAACTGTACATCAGCTGCACAACTACTGAATCAGAAAGCTGATCTCTGCTTTGCGTTGATGAGAGTTCCCCAGGCTGCAGTGCTGTAGTGCAAGATGTGCCATGTTGTGGGATGAAGAGTGTGAATATCAAGTCAACGTGTCTTCGAAACACATTTCTAAACAAGAGTGCATCCTGAACAGGAGCATTGTGCTGATGTGCAAGAACAGGGCATAGAGGAACGGCTCTCTTTTAAGAAACCCATTTAAACATTTGCTGTTTTTTCATACAGCTCAACTGCAAATATTCTTGCCTGATGGAATGACCAAGGGTTTCACAAGGTGGTTGATATTTTCAGAAGTTTCATCAGGACAATTTCCCCGATACTCACTTCTGGAAGTGTACTGGAAATGTTAGCTATTCACTGATCTGCTTGGCACCTGCTGGCCCTTCATAGTTTCACGCTTTTTAGGATACCCTTGGGACTAATCTGGACTACCTGGTTAAGGGCACATATAAAGGCAGTAAGCCTATGTCCTGGAAGAGAGTAACCCCAAAAAGAGGGCTTGGAATGGAATTTCCCTCTCAGACTGACAAGGACCTTGAGTGAGCTGGAGTGTTGCTGGCATCATTTGAACATGTCTTATGAATGCCTTTGCCATTGAAAGATTCTTCTGTCTTTCCATCTCTCATGTTCTCTGCCTGTTGCACAAAGGAACTCGGTCCCTTGAGACCTGACATTCTTTTACATGGTTCAAGTTAGCAAGATTTTCATAACAGTGACCAAGTAGAAATTCATAACATGATACATGACAAGTAAGACAAGATGATCTCATGCTCCTTTCTGCTCTCAGGCAAAATGAGATGGAATGTTTTGATTTTGTTCCTTAAGCTTTTGTGAGAGATACAAAAGTGTGAACTTGCAGGGTATTGCGCTGAGGACCTGATCGTCTGCTGTTCTTTACCAAAGCATTTCCAAGTCCTTTGGAGATGCCCTTTCCAGTTGTGAATCAGTTGTATGCAGATCTTCATGACTTCATTATCTTTTGGACTGGTATTTGTGGCTCTTTTAGCTCTTTCAAAGCCAAAAGCAGAACTCTGTGTAATTTAAAACTACTACAATTGTCCCTTTCAGCTGCTTTAGACTTTTCTTTCTTCTTGGTCTATCTCCCTTCATTTTCTAGAGCTTTAGCTTATCTTCCGAGGCTTTCTTAATATCCCTTGCTTCTGTGGTTGCTAATTCCTTGTCTGGGAACATAGACAGACCAAGCCATAGACCAAGAGCAGTTTGAATTCAGTGGTACAGAGGCAACATCAGGGTAAGTAAAGTTAGCAGAGTATGTGCAAGGAGAGGCAGAGCACTTGCTCTCTGTCTGTGGCTGGAGGAATGGGCCCTCACCCCACCTCCTGCAGATGCAGCTGAGATGCAACTTGGAGTCTGTAGTTGACACAACTTTATTGCATGGCAGATGATCCCTCTAGGCAGTAGGAGTGGCAATGCTCTCCTCCCACTTTCTTCCTTCGTCCCAAATCTTCCTCCCCCTGACATTTCTCCTCTTAGAAACAAGGCTTGACCCCAGCCTTGCCCTCTTCCTTCACTGCACCAAGAAGTAGATAGAGATTGCTGAAGGTCAAGGAGGATAAAGGAGGACATGGTGAGGGTGAGGATAATCAGCGCATAGGGGAAAGGGAGTTACTGGATAGCAATGCACTGTGCCCAAGGGAAATGAAGCGGAATGAAAGAGAAAAGAGGGAAGAGGAAAGGAGAACTGCTCTTACACACAGCCCTGTGAAGTTTTATGATTCCTCCTCCACCCGCTTTGTTCACCTTTAATTCCCATATCTCTGCCTTCCTTACAGGAACTCATCTGACACCTCACTATTCTCCCACTCCATATTGTCCTCTTATCAGAGCCACAGCACTGGAATTCTACCTGTGTGACTAAGAAGTCAGCCTTCCACTAGAAGGATTTGCTCACCTCCAGGATCCTGTTCCTGTCATCTGTAAGGTGCCACTAATAAAAGTTCATTGTCTGCCTGCATTGATTTTAGACTGGGGGTTACTGCTGCTAACATTTAGAAAAAGTAGGAAAGTGCTGTATGAGTTGAAAAAATAAAACCTCAAAATTAGTTTGGGATCTTTTTTTCCTGGGAGTATCACATAATTGTGAGTGTTTGCTCATGTCACAAGACAGTTAAACTATATGGTATTAAATTCTTTATCTTTTGATGTTTAAGAGTATAACAGTGAGGAAAGGGAGGCCAGATACAAATGGTATCCCATTGATATGCCATATAATAAAAGGGAGGCAAAGCATAATTTATGCTATGGGGACTAAAAATGTGTAGCATGAACCTGTGCTCCTAAGCATTGTTAACCATCCTAGGAATTTGCTGTTCACAGGGTGACTGAGAACTGCTTGGGATTTATGGAGATATTCTGTAGACTTTGGCTCCAAGAGAGTTAAAAGTGAGGAAAGACAGTAAGTGCTTTGTGGGCTGATCATGGGAGAATCAAAATAAAGGAACTGGTGGGGCTCATTCCCACATGTGGCCAACTCTCCTTTGGTGTGAGAAAGCTAAGCTGGCTGGATGGCTTACACTACTTCTACATCAGTGAGATTTGGATTTATGTTTAAAATTAAATTAATCAGAACATTGTGGATTCTCCAACCATAAAGATATGCAACATTTGACTGGGAAGGGCCCTGAGCAATCTGGTGTATCTTTGAAGTTAGGATCAGATGACTGTCAGCTGCCTATTCCAACTCAAGCTACTCTCTAACTCTGTGAACTTCAGTACACCAATTTTTGCAAATAACTTACTTTGTTCAACTGAGCAATATTATTAACATTCTTATGTATGTGAAGAATTAGTACTGGAATAAACAGTAGGGCCTCAGGGACAAATTCTGTCATCTCTATGGAAATTCATTACGTGAATTACCTTCCCATCATAAGACTGGAGGCAAGCAAACAAGTGTGGTCTTGTATCTGCACAACTCACTAATCCTTTGAATTAATTGTGTCTCTTTGCACGTGTGAAGTTACAAATATTTATGGGATGTGGTGGTAGAGCAGTAAAAGCCTGTTATGACAGGTTTTAAAGCTGTGAGTCTGAGCCTTCTTCCATACTTGCACTGAAAGAAATACTGAGGGTAAAAGAGAGGGTAATCCACCTGTACTTCATGACACAGCAGAACACCAGCATCTCTGGGACACGGTGCTGACTATTTTGCTTCTTTGGGGACGGAGAGAAGAAGCTGCAGCCTCCCCTGTAGGCACAAAGAAGAGGACTTGTTCCATGCTGGGTGATGGAGGTCTGATATCTGTCACCGAACCTGGGCCTACATTGAGGACTGTCCTTTAGATGCCTGTTCTTTAGGTGCCTGTTATTACAGAAGCTACAGTGCCTCAGGTGTGGAAAGCTGTTGAAGTTTTTAGCTGTTAGACAAATACTGCTCTGCCTGAGATTTGAGGATTCCAGCATCCATTCCTGTGTGATTGGGTGTGTGATCCTGATTCACTGGGTGTGTGATTTGCCAAGTCCCAAAATGGTTTCAAAGTTTTCAGTCTCTGAAAAGATAGGACTGAGAATGCGTGTTTATTTTTTTTTTTTTCATTTGGGTATTAGAGATGGATGAACTGCACAGCTGGTTAAGGAAGTGACTACCGAGGACAAGAATATGAGTGCTCGTTGCTGTGCTGGCAGGAGAAGTCAGCAGAAATCAGGAGGTAGCATTGAATCTATCTGTCTACATACAGGAGCAGATGAACTTCTTGGCGTCTCCCATTAGTGTAGAAGTATGTTTTAATTGATAAGAACTACAACAGCCTATAAATAGTGCAGTTTCAGAGCAAATCTGCTGAAAATGAAGTGTCCTGAGGATTTTAGGTGCCCTATTTCCATGACCAGATCAACAGAAATTCCAGGACAGTAGTAAACACGTTGTTAGCTCTCTTGCAATAAATTTCCTCATTTCTTGTCTCCTGACCAGCAATTGACTAAGATACAGGAAAGTGAAGGAAAATACTAGAGCTATTTATACACCAGAGGAGGGGGTGTCATGTTATCTTCCTTCTTTTGCAAGATCATGTTTGCTACCAGCAAGTTATGCCTTCTAGGTCCTGCCAAAGTACGTGTTATCCTGGGGGAGTGGGGAGGAAAGCCAAAACAAGTAGAACAAGCAAAATACTATGTGGTGGAACTGAAAGAACATTCCACCACAGACCACCCAGGAGTGGTGCCATGCTGTGCATACTGGAGTCAGGAAAGAGCGTAATTTTCTTGCAGTAGCTTCACCCCTCAAAACCCTTCTCTTTCACTCTTCCGGTACGTCTCTGTGATAATTCCTCAGAAGTCTGTTTCCTTTCTTACTTCAGTGAAAAAAGGAAGAAGAATTCATTCCAGAGAGAAACACTAACTTGCCACAGACATTGCTTCTCTTAGCATGATTATTCTCTTTAGTTACAAGATAAGGGCCTATGAAGTTTTATAAATACACCACAGAGATAACTAGAAAACTCCTTCCCATTTCCCGTGTGTTCTCTGAGGCAGTGTTGTGTCTTAGTGACATGTAGATTCTGCATGTATCTAATTGCCTTCCAAACTGCTTATCAACTCCTGTTTCGGAGAGACTGGATGAATCATGGTTTCTGCTGAAAGTGTTATATATGACTAGTTTGAGTTGCATGCATGAGGGATTATGGGTCATGCTCGTCCCTTCATGGCAGAAAACTGGTCTCAATATTGTATCTTATCCCAGAGTTAGGGCAGACTCTCCTTCCTCATCTCTCTGTAAGCAATGAACCGACTCTGATAAAAGAATCATAGAATATCTCAGGATGGAAGGGATCCATAAGGATCATCAAGTCCAACACCCTGCACCTAAAACTAAACCATATGACCAAGAGCATTGTCCAGTTGCTCCTTGAACTCTGACAGAATTGGTACCATCACCACTTCCCTGGGGAGCCTGTTCCAGTGACTGACCACCCTCTCAGTGAAGAACCTTCTCCTAATGTCCGATCTGAACTTCCCCTGATGCAGCTTCAGTCTATTTCCTTGTGTCCTATCACTGGTCACCAGAGAGAGGAGATCAGCACCTCCCCTTTCGCTGTCCTCCTTGAGGAAGTTGTAGGCTGCGATGAGGTCACCCCTCAGCCTTCTCTTTTCCAAGCTGAACAAACCAAGTGACGTCAGCCACTCCTTGTAAGTTTTGCCCTCGAGGCCTTTCACCATCTTGGTTGCCCTCCTCTGGACACACTCTCATAGTTTGACGTCCTTGTTATACTGAGGTGCCCAAAACTGCACACAGTCCTCGAGGTGGGGCTGCACCAGTGCAGAGTGGAACAATCACCTCCCTTGACGGGCTAGCTATGCTGTCCTTGGCCCACCCCAGGGCCCTTTTGGCTGCCGGGGCACACTGTTGACTCATATTCAACTTGACATCAACCCAACCCCCCAGATCTCTTTCTGCGGGGCTGCTCTCCAGCCTCTTGTCCGTTTATTTGTATGTATAACCAGGATTACCCTGTCCCAGGTGCACTTGAAATACTCCAAAGGAAATGTATTTGCTTAAACACATTTTTATCATGATTAAAGGAGCAAAAGAGTACATCTGCAAGACCCATTACATATGGATACATGGAAAACAATTTGAATAATAACATGCCATATTTGGCCATGATGATTGAGCCCAAAAGATTTAAGGAGAAATATGAATGATAAAATTCCTATAATGCATCTTTAGAATGTGAGGAAGAGCCTTGCAGTATCAGGAGCACAAAGAAAAAGCAATTGCCTTGTCAGAGTAGGAATGGTTCATGATAGTTTAGAGTTCAGTCTGGGAGCTTTTGAGTGACTAATTCCAGAGAAGTCACTATGAAGCTTGGTCATAGAGAAACCTAGCTTAATTAGAAGGCTGCAGTTTTTTTCCATAAAACTTCTGCTGATAAATGGGGTTGTGTTTTTTCAGTGTGATGATTCGGCACTATTGTCTTTAAATTGCACCAGTAACATCTCTGTTCATGCTCATGCTTTCTTTGGGTCCAATTTTCATTCCCTTAACTCTACATCTATGAGTAAATAATATTACTCTGCAGAAAGGGAAGGCAAAGGGCCTCTGTTTTCATGGAATAATTTCTCTGACTTAGCTTTTTTTTAAAAAATAAAGCCTTCTGATTTTAGAAGATATGGATGAAAGAGAGAGTATGCATTTCTTTTTACCCTTGATACTTCGGTGCTTTGGGTCTTGCTCTGAGGGACAGAAAAATCTTTCAACTGTCTTCTCCTTAAGGGGACATGCATCTGCCAAAGAAGACAATGCTGTCGGTTGGGTTGTGCTTGATTAAGAAGAGGAAAGGGTGGTCAGCCTTAAACTCTTCAGAGACATTTTCAGCCTCCATCTCAGTTCCTGTTGAGCTTGTCACCTCACTGCCTGCCTCATAGATTTCCACAAATGCCTCGTGGACGGCTTCAGACATCTTCAGGCTCTCTGCTGAAGAGATGCCGGAGAGATTGGCTGATGAGCTGAACAGGTCGGTTATACCCAAGGCCATTAAGACAGACTTGAGGTTATATTTTTCCTCTATCTTCATGCGGGGGAGATAAACTCTTATTTTCCTCTCTTCCATCGTATTAGAACTGGTCCACTTAATGAGTTTTTCAGAGGTGATTGAAGTCTCAAGCTGGAAGGAGACAAGCAAATGAGATCTCTGGGATGAGAGCACAACTTCCTTTGTGGCAATGCAGTACCAGTGGTGGGGTTTTTTTCTCTTTCAAACTGACTGCTCTTGGCATGGCATTTTTTCTAAGTATATACAGATTAATGTATCTAGGAGAGGAAAGCAAACTATGACTCTTTCTTCTCTGCTCTGTCCTGCTATTTCTTTAGTTGGCTCACTGTCAATTAATTTTCTTAATTGAATGGCTACTGAGCAGATTTCACCTAAAGCTCTTCCCTATTTATCTTCTTTGCTTGGGAAATATATTCAAAAAATCATTCTGTGCTTTTGAGTGGTAAGCTCTATCTACATATAAGACCCCCAAGTAACCAGGTGTTAATGGTAACTAGTTACTAATACCTGAACTATCAGTTATTACTGAGGAAATTTAGCTATGTTCAAATGCCTCTTCATTTTCATAATTTAGATTCTTTGAGTTAGTGTACAAACATTTCAATGAACTATCGTTTGTTACATAACTTTTCCTATTCAGACTAACTACGATCCTGCTAATGACAATATTCCATGCCTGTATTCTGTTCATATCAACACTAATGTCACATACATTTTATTTTTATAACCATTCCAGTAGCCCTCATATTCAGTTTTTAGATAGTTTAATTTTTTGAAGTTATGAAAGCAGCATGTCGAGCACTGCCAAACCAAACAATAATTACAACTAGTAAAGCTAACAGGAACTTCCCAGGAAGTTCCTCAGTGTGCAGGAGTGGAGATATAAAACCTTTGGTGTTCAAGCTGCTGGAGTAACAGCTGCTTACCTGAGAAGAATCTGTTCTCCAGTGACCAATATTTAACCCACTAAAGCAGTTCCTTAAGCAATCTGTGCTCAGCACAAACTATTGCAGGACCACTGAGACAGCTGCATGCTTCTTATGCAACAATCCCATCTTACCACTGTTGAGATCTGTGCTGGTGAAGTGTTTTAGGATAACTTTATTGTGAAGGGCTTTGCAGCACCTAAATTTCACTGTGTTCGTGGTTTTCTGAAACCCAACTGCCAGGGCCATACCTGCTTCAAGCCAGAGACTTCATCAGGCAATATGACCATCATGCTCAGCTGCCCGCTGGCGTACGGAAACTCCAGGATCTTCAGGTTCTCAGAAGCCGCCACTGTCAATTTGAATGAACCAATCTGATACATCATTTGCACAGGTTTGCTTTCTTGCTGCAAAACCAAATAAGATAATATAGTTTTCACAAAGATTATCCTTAGACTGTAAAAATGTCTACTTATGGTTAAAGCTACTGATTGCTTTTGTTCAGGAAGATTGTAGAACAACTTATCTACTCTCTTCATAAATTGTAGAAGATGACACCTTTAAGGTGATGTATGCCCATGTACCTCATTAATTCTGAAAGGCATTTCCTGGGTGTCTTCTTCCTTGAATGCTTTCTCCCATATTCCTTTGAAGTAAACGGCATTGACAAGGACCATTTTAGTCTGGGGATCCACAGAGCCCGGCTGAAGGATGTTTTTGATCATTCCTTCAAGAATGCATAGGAAAAGAGAGCACATGTATATAACACATCTGTGTATAACACATCTTACTTGTCAATCACAATGTTAAATGAAGGGTATAGAATTTGTGGGGAGGAGGGTGTAGGGCAGGGACATTGTTTTGGTTTTGCAGCCATAGTCTTGTACTTCTGAGGGTGATTTGCTCACTGCTGTTGGCAGTATCATTTGTTTCCCTCTCTGTAAAGAATTATAATGAAAGATATAAGACCTAGAGATTTGTTTGTTACAAAATGAGTAAACCTGTGTATTTTGTGACAATGGGAAGAACCACTGGAACCTTTTATCCCAGGATGGTCTCCAACTCAAACAGTAAACATAAATACTTCTTGCTTGAAACCAAAGTTGAAAGGAGATGTCTATATAAAGAAGGTAACAGGAAAGGAAACTAGAATTTTACTCTGCTATCTTTTTATACTTTGTTCTTGTTTGTTCTACAGTCCTCATGCACATAGCAAGCTCCTCCCTTAGTCCTTTCCCACCAGTAGCTTAATCATGGTCTGGTTTTCTCCTTCAAAGTATGACACCGCACCAGAGATTGTGTGATTGTGAATATTTTCATTTCAGTTAAAACTCAGCATCTTTTATCTGTGTTTACTGTTCAGGCCATGTGTTTCAAGCATGAGGGAAAGGAATGTTTTGAGGCGGCCTGGAAGAATGGAGGAACTACATGGAAATGCAGTAGGGTAAAAATCCCAATTGTGGTATACCTCTTTCTATGCATTTCATACACCTCTGTGGTTTTCCATTGCCCTTTACCTGTTAAGATTTCTCAGGTAGCTTATGACTGCATGCCCTGCTCAACAGGCACACAACAACTCTGGGAAGCTTGAGGGCAAAGCATACTGACCAAAGGATATGCAGATTCTCAACATTAGCATCAAACCACTTGTCAGTGTGTACAAAGCATATTCTAGTGCTGTCCCTTTCATTGGGACTGGAAGTATTACATACCCACAAAGCCCCTACAGATACAGAGAGTCCTCTAAAAGCAATGTGTCTGAGGAAAAAAAAAATAATCCTTAAATGATAGTTCCATATTTGGGAACTGATGTATTATCGAGGAGAAGGAACAGAGGGACAAGTTTTGGGTTTTTTATCTCCTGACTTAAGCATTCTCATATGCTGTCAAACATGGTGGCAGAACGGAAAATTCCTATGCCGATACTTGGCTTGCTCTTACCATTTGTGTGACTTTCAACCCAGGAATTGATGACCTCTCTGGCTTGATCTGCAGCTGTTTGAAAGCTGATAGTTTCCACGCCTCCTTTATACAGTTCTTTCACACATTGTAAGTATTCCTGCAAAGGAAGATTATGCAATTTTCAGATCAGAACATCAAATCAGTTTGCAAATGTGAAATGCAAGACTGAAATTAGCAGATATGAATAATCTGCTTATTAAGGCTATTATTATCAGTAGGCCATGATTCTAGTTAATAAGCACCTTAAGATTTGACAGTCATTTCTTCAAGCAAGAGTATATGCTCACATTTTGAAAAATATTTTCCAGAACTGAGTTTGATACAAAAATGGCATTCATTGCAGTTGAAGTATGTTTTTTTCATTGTGCCTACTTAACTTTTTATTTCGCAATGGTATTTTCCTTTAATTTCAAATTAAATATTCATTTCAATGGAAAAATTGGAATATTTTTGAGAACCTGAAGTTATTTTTTCAGGTTTGTTTTACAAGTTGAGAAAACAGTTTAAGTTTAATTGAATTTACCCTTATGAATTATACCTTGACGTGATTGGATCATGATTGTACTTTGCACAAACATCTTTTTGGCTAGGCACATTTTTTTCTCAAGACTGTAGAGGATTAGGACTGTGATAGAGAGAAGTTGTGAATCCTGTCTTCCATATGGAAGAAAACTTCTTCCGTAGAACCTAGTCTTCTGACAGTGCTTTTGCATTAGAGAATGGTACAGCTTTGACACAGAAATATACTCAGATCAGATCTTAGAGCAACTCACCGGTAGGATTGGGTATGTCTCTTCAGTATAAATTTTACTGGCAAAGCTGAATGAGTAATTGTCACTTGGTTTGGTGATTTGGATGAGCATGTCTTTAAGTGAAGTGTGGACGCTTACAGATGTGTCGCACTGAATCGTTGGCATGAATACAAATAAAAAAGATAGATGATGTTATTCTAGTTTTAGTACTTAGTAGGTTTTTCATACTATATGAGAAGAGCAGAGTAGTTCAGACACTTCTGCTTACAAAATTGTTGTTCATCCTGTATGTCTTGTTGCTGTAACTACACTGATATAGTAATTTTCTAATATATTTCTGCTGTAATTTCCTCATACCTCTCTCAGGGGGACTTTTAATTACCCATTACAGTCATCTATCTCCAGCAGATCAGGTAGGTTTTTCTCCATTCCCAACTAGTCACATTTAACCAGTAACATCCAGTTTCCTTGGCTAAGCATACAAATATCTGTAATTTTCCCTATTTACCCAATATTATGGTGCTGGATTTCATCTTATGCTTGTTCTGAATCCTCTGTTACCTCCCTTCTCTCTCTATTCTTATGAACTAAGTGTTCCCTCAACTGCTGGATACAGAGCACTAGCTGCTAATCGGCGAGGGGTTGGAACTGCTAGAGACAGCTTTATCTGCTAGATTTTGCTCCCAGGAGAAAGTGACAGAGAAGGAGATGAAATTATTTCTGTACCTGAGATTCAACAGTCTCTCCAAATCCTAGGATTTTATCAAAGTGAAGAGCCTGTAATTGAAAACAACAGTAGTTGAAATAACAGGTATGACAGGAAAAGGTTATGTCACTGGGATTAACGCATGATATTTGAAATAAACCTATTGGCTAACTGGGAAGCTGGGTGACTCAAAAGGTGCAATCTGTCTGTACCATCTGTGAACAGCTGTGCGTACTGTTGCCCACTTGGATGATCTCTTTTTCTTTTGAACGTCTAGAAATCAGCTCCAGTGTAACAAGCCAGCCACTCTTTATGAAGGAAGTGAGAGTTGTAGGACATTCATGTGAAACATTTTGCAGTCTGTTTTGCTGTTTTGGCTCTAAAAAATTTTGTCTACTTTCCTTACTATAAATAAAGGACCACTGGAATGTGGTGTTCTCTTTAAGACTCATACTGTAACAATGATAAAATTAAAATTTAAATCCAGTTTCAAGATTTCTGGCTGATGCATTTGTTTAACACTATGGGAGTTTGTAGTGGCCACAGCTTTGGTAACTCTGGATCCAGATTTTTTAGCCTCTAAGCTATGCAAAAGACATTATCATATAATTAAGTGCTATGGCTCTATCAAGCAGCAGGAAGGTTTAAATCCTTAACTGTAGCCTCACCTTATCTATCTGAGCCCTGGTGTTTTCTCTTGCGCCTAAGTAGACCATGGCCAGAGCTGAAACGATGCTCAGGGGGGAGTAGAAGATGTTCTCGTTGGCATGATGGACTTTCAGCTCCTTGAATACATCAAAACAAAAATCCGTGTTTGCTGCACCAATGGAGCCCATTGTGAAACCAGTGTTGTCTAGAGCAAACAGCAGAAGTACAATGACAATGTAATGATGGAATACCGTACAAACACAGCATAATGCACTTTAATAGTAGGTTTTAGGCAATGAAATATAAACAAGTAGTTTTGAAGTCATTCTGTGGTAACCTCTCATGCATGTTAGAAACTCTGTATTCATAAATCTCTCTCTTTCTACATTTGTATTCAGTTGCTTTTTTGGCAGTACAGTTCCTCAGAAGTCTTAAATCTGTATGTGGTTTCTGTTTATGTTTTCAAAGCAGTCAAATAACAGTTGCCTGTACTTATTTTCATTCAATGAAGGCTAGAATTCCTTGGTACTTTGTAGTACCTTTGATGAAAACAAGAAAATATGATCTGTCTGTGATATACTTGCAAAGCTGGAAATTTAAAGTGCAAATTTTAGTAGACTTACTCTAAGTTTGGACAGATATGCATAAAAGCAGAGGCTGGCTGACTTTTTATTTTCTAAAAATAAGTGCAGTAAAATATCTATTTGTTGAACTGTACTTACTGTCAGTAGATCTCCAAAGTCTTGTATGTTTACCCTTGTTTTAGTAATAGAAGCATGGATAGGCAATATAATTTGTCTAAGGTCACCAGACTAGGAGAGAGACTGATGCACAAAATTGGTATTCTACCCTATTATGCTTTCAGATATAGCTTGCTTTGCTTAAATATATCTATATATACTACACTATAACCTTTCTGAGAAATTGCATTTTGTTAGTGACATTCAGACTTTGTTGTCTTTCAAAATCCAGCCCTTTATGTACATGCTTAATGCTGGAATCTCAAGTTTGTCTTTGGACTATTAAAGTTCACCAAGGTTTTTAGTGACCATCCTCATGGGTATAAACATACACTTGGACATACATTTCTCTCACTTTCTGTATACAAGTTCACATTTATAGATTAATGTAAAAATGTAAGTCTGTACACCCACAGACCTTTTTATTTTGTGTAGTGTTCACCAGCTGTATTTTCCAGGGATGCAACTGTTAAAGAAATTTCACACTAAAATAAACCTAGCAAATTCACTCGATGCCACAGTTTTACTCTCAGTGCACCCTGTTGAACCGGAGGTCAATCAAGCAAGCTTATTCTTTGACTGCCAAAATCAAACTTAAAAGGTACTGAACAAGAGGATAAGCTGCTCTGAAATAAAATCATATTTTAAGCACAAAATAATATTTTAAGCACAAAGAATAAACTTTTACAAAGTCTCCTGAAAACAAATACTCAGGTTTTACACTTAATAAAATAGTGTAGAACACATACGCACAGGTGAGAAGATTTATAGAGAATATCATGTAAATATGCTGTCCTTAAAGATACCAAACACAACACAATAATTGCTCTATTTTAAGTTTAGGCAAAAACAAGAAATAACATAGCAAGAAAGTAAATTTTCCTAGAGAAATGCTTACCTTCTAAGCTTCTGCACCAAAGGCAATACAGCTTTCCAGCTGTATGTAGAGAGACTGGCTGAGCCCTTGGGAATTTATACAGTCTGGATTGTGACCCACCCGCTGCTGCCCTTCAGAAGTTTGACCTTTGACACCATAAAAATAATTTAATGGGATTAGGTCAGATTTTAGTTTCAATGGGTCCATTTTTGATTGAAGGGAGAGCAAATAATTGTTGGGGTTTTTTTTATTCTGTATAACAGTGTTATTTTCCAGCAGAACCTCAGGATGGTTGGATTGGAGAAAAGACTGAGAAATAATGCTCACGTTCCTTTAAGCCTCATTTGCAACTAGATACTGGGATATTAGTAAAAACAAAAATGTGAAAACCTTAGTGATGGGAAACACAATTAGCAGTTATTAGTCAGTCTGTCAATAATTAGTCAATACGGTTGTAGTAACAGACCAGAACTCTCTTTCAATTTATCTTTTTTGAATGTACAAAATACAGCGGAGCCATGCTAGACAGAAGATAAGTGAGAACAGGACTTGGCCTATTATTGTACTAACAAATCTGGGCAATTAAAGAAGGGTACATGTGAGAAAACCAATTGAGATGAAAATCAAAAGCAGGCTGTCCTGGTTTGGCTAAAACAGG